TTTATTTACATATTTTAGTATTTATTGCAACTAACAATATTAAAAACATCTTTTGAGAAGTTATACTTAAGTTGTTTTTTATTAGAACCCAATTTCCACATAAGACTGATCCCGGGATAGTCCCGGGATCCCGGGATTACCCATCAAAAATCCCGTAATCCCGGGATTGAAAAACATGCTCGGGATTGTATTCTCTACATGCCACCCTCATTGTAAGTTACATAAAATAGGTACATAAATACAATAAAATTATCTACGTTTCACACCCCTAACTACCATTTTGTAAAGCATTCTGGCTTCCCCGGTCAATGGAAAAGCGAGAATGCTATTACAAAATCCAACATCTGCCCTTTTTATATTATATTTTTCACAGAACTCAGCCCTTTCAACCTCGTTCCGGTCACACTCCGTCAAAATGTGTGTAACATCTTCTAGTAAATCACATTCTGTACAGTTAGGAGATGGCACTTTTCCCATCATAAATGCAAAACTATTCAAAGGTATGTGACCCGATCGAAGGCGCAAGGCTGTGACAATATCACCCCTGCCCATATCGGCATTATCAATCCACGAAATCCGCGAAACATTTGGTTGAATAGTTTTATACCATATTCCCGTCGATAAAGATCTTTCGTCAAAGTATTCTTTCCACATACTTATTAGTTATTCATATTCTAAGTAAAGAGATGGAACATGAATCACTTGCCTAACTAAGAACTACGCTGATTCGTCGAAATCCACTGAGTTTCTAAGCTTGAGATATATTCCGCACCCGATCTCCGCTTATAATAATTCAGGGAAAGTGACACCGCCTAGCTGCTAAAGCTGAAATAAGCGGAATATTGGAATTCTATTCACACATACATCACTCGTAAGCGCTGAACATTGACGCTAATGTTCGACAGCGTGTAAGCGCGGAGACGGCACGGCACACACGATGCGTGCGCGAGTCCATTACCGCTCCCGGACAAGTCCCAGCTGTAAGCCGATCTGTTTGATCACTCGCCCGCCCCGCCCGCCAACGCCGCCACTTGACTCCCGGCAATCTTTTTATCTCGAATACGTGAGAGAAAAATATTACTTCATCCCGACTTTGAAATGTAAGACTAACATTAAACCGAAATGCCATGACCGAGCCCGGCCGCAATACGATTTTATGAAAAAAAAAGCCAACCGAATTGAGAACCTCCTCCTTTTTTAAATCGGTTAGAATTCTTACATCCCATACAATCAGTTTAGTAGACTATGCATCTACAATTAGACAAACGCGAATAAGGCAACGTTCACATCCGTTTACGCACCGGAATTCTGAAAGCATTGAACTTTACATAATGCTTAGCTCCATTTGACTCGTACTCAATCAGGTCGAATGACTCGACAAAGTGCTACCTAATATTTAGCCTAAAATATCGCTACAACTTGGCCATTTAGATTCGTGACATTCAGTCAACAAGGCTGTCACTGCGAAATTAGGTTTAGTAACGGCAGTAAAAAATGGTGCTCCAAATTTTGTAACTACCCCCCGAGTGACACGCACGGTGCTCGTCGGCTATAAATCTCGTTCTATTTACCCCGTAAGCGATCGCAGAAAATCTACTTTTTCGTGATTTCTATTTGTAAGAAAAGAGGGGGCGGTGAAATAAAACGTGTCCGTTTCTGCCGAGTGGCCGCGTCCTCGAGTCAGCCACCGTCGGCGCCTTCAGGGACAGTCAGCACTCGCGGCTTTAATATGGGCTTACGGCTACTCAGCAGATTGAGCTGAACTCTCGCGCCCGTCGACACTATGTTTATGCTAATTTTCATTGTAACACCTATGCATATAAATATATTTTTCATATTCTCGTACCTATGTGTGTAATGATTACCTACCCATCGATTGCATGGACGGCCAGGAATACTACCTGACTAAAATGTAAAGCTCCTAACCTCAGGTGCGCTCAAGATTATACATAATTATCTTTAAGCACTTCCTCCCATAACCCCACACGTGCAGAGCTCTCCAGCCGACCAAGTCTGTAAACGCACTATCTAGCCGCGACTAAATTATCTGATAACGACACCTTGGCGCCCGACTTACACTAATTTAACGCTAACCATGTTTGCGTTTCACTCGAAATCGATATCTAATCGACGCCGGCGCAGCCCCGATCGTCGTTTGATTACCTGGATGCGCACGCCTGTTTGCTTTCCTTAACTTACAATTTATTACGAGTAGTGTTTACATAACATAATTTGTAACCGTTTAAATGATAATAATAAGATGTGATCAATAATTTAATTCCTAATGTCTCCGCTCTTCACACATTGCCGCTTTTCTTAGATTAATAAAGCCTAAATGGATAGTCTTTAAACAAACGCTTCGTCAAAAGTGAGGCAAAAATCTTCTTTTTCGAGAGTGAGAGATTTGTATGCACATTTATTGTAAAAAAATNAATAAAATGTAATTTTTTATTTATTAAGACATTTAATTAAAACAATGAAGTATCAAGTTTCAAAAAAGTTGCCTTACTTTTCGTGCGCTTACTACCTAGCTAGGCTTTATTAATTTGACCAAAATATTCATAACAATAAATTGTAATAGAGCAAGAGCCTGTGAATGCCATTCCTTCGTTTCGTTGTTTATAAAATCTGAAAATTTGTCAGCGCATGTTCCCAACATCCCAACACAGAAGAACGGATCATCATGAAGTTTGGGTCATCGTGGCTTTGGCATACAAAATGTACAAAATCAAAACTGACCTTGACCTGAACGAACAATATGAAAATAGAAATCGTATCTTGTGACATAGATAGATACTCGTATTTCCTCTTAGAATGCTATCTGTAAATGACAATGTAGATATATTGCTGTGATACAGTATTGCTGTAGATTTATCTTATGTTTTATGTGTAAAAAAGTGTTTGTCAACACTAAAATGCATGAGTCATAATTGAATGGTTGGTGTACAGTTTTAATTAGTAGATACAGAAAGAATAAGTTCGTAGTAGTGGCGTTTGTAAGAGCGCGTCTCAAAGCCGTCGGCCATCTGTCTAATTGCCGCGCTCGTGGGCTACAGCCGCGCCCGCACCGCGACACGCCGCTCTCGGACCATTCCAATTCGCTGCCGTCGCCGAGCAGCAGCCGCGGGCACCGCGGCCCTCCAGCGACCACCCGCCGGCGCTCTATGGGAAACAATACTGATCGAGTGCCTTTCGTTTAAGCTGCACTAATGGGGCGGAGCATGCGAGCCAAATAAACATCAAACTTTAGGTGGAACTGAAGTTCAATGTGCGGCCACGCCGACAAACGTAGAGCCATAATGCTCTACGCGTTTTCTATTCATTAACAGTCGCTTGGAAATTAAACCATAGAACAAACTTGCTTATTTGATCGTAGTCGTTTCACAGTCCTATAACAAACTCTACTGTAAGCCGTAGAATCTAGTCTGTTCTTAGGCTCGGTTTGCACCATATTACTTTAACTTTAACAAACGTCAAAAACCTGTCAAACTCCATACAAAAAGCACCGGTTATCGTTATAGTTACGGTCAAAGTTATCACGTTAGGTGAACTAACTCGGCCTTAGTGTGTGAATAATATGTGTACATGAACGGATAGATAAAATGGTATATATAAAATATAAATATATAAAATGGTATATAATATTATTATTATGTTTATGTATCTAGGTGTATGTCTATTATATTAATATGTATTCGTATGTTATTTATTTTATCTAATGCTATGTAAGTATATTCATTAAACGTCATATTTATTACACCGCCTTAGTCTCTCTGCTCGACCTGTGGTTGACTGGCAGATAATGCCACCTGGCATTAAGTCCGCCACTGTACAGTTGTATGTGCAAAAGTGTAAATAAATAAATAAAAAAATAAAATATATCGCCTATTTCCAAGATTTAATACAATATCGGTCATCAACGGTCTCCTCATACAAATTCCAGTTTAAACGCATGTTTAATTCGATTCCTTTTAGGCCAGCAGTTGTTATCGTCGCTCTGATCTCAATTAAGAGTGACGCGAGTGAGCTAGTAATTATAATTAATCCGCTGACGCGAGAGCAGCAGACCAGACCTTTGTCTAGTCATTGACGCCTCACTTCGCTCTCTTCACAATAAAGTCCATTTTGTGCCGCACCTCTAAATATTTGTCAAGTCCAGAAGCCGAGTTCGTTCAATTAGACAAAGCCACTGATCCACGACAAAACGTTTTTTTCGAGCGAGCGGTTTCAAAATAGTTTTAACCCTATCGTTGTTCACAAATCCCTTTTTATTGTTCCTTTGTGGGTGATAGATGGAATTGCTACTCGAACCTCACTCAATATAAGGAGGGAACTGAGAATAAATACGTGAGATGATTTCTATTAGCTGAATTGATTTGCGCAACCTACCCTAAGTAAATTGAAGCAAACTTCAAACAACTTTCGCTAAGTCACGGCGGCGGAGTAACCTAACTAAATACGCCATGAGCTGCTGGCCGGTGTCGTCACCCGGCCCACGCCGGGCGCTGGTCAGCTAACAGAACTACACCTACGCTGAAGGGCATTGAGCTTTTTTGAGCTTAAATTGAGGTCCAATCGAGTGGGCATTGCGGCGACCATTCACCGCTCGCCCACCTCTCGCATCACAGGCATGTGCATTGCAAGTTGTCAATGTGTATTGTTGTTACGACATCCAGGTACTTTAACCATAGCTTGTGTTAAGAACCTGTAAGTAACTAAGTAGGTATACATTATATGTGTCATGGCGATTTCTTAATGCTACAGATTACCACTGCACAATCATGTATGACACGCAGACAGGTCGTAAAGTTGTGGTAATGCGAATGCAAATAATTTGCCTTTCACAAAAGTGCACGAAGCCAGCCAGCCAGCCTACTCACGATATGAGAGCAGGCAGAAAGCAAGTTTATAGGGCAAGCTGCGGAGAGCGCCCCCCGCGCGCGCGCCCCGCGCCCTGCGGCTCGCGACCGGTCCGCGGCCGCACGCCAGTCAGCCGGCGGCCGCGGGGTGCAGCGTTCGTGCCGCTCGTCCGCGCAACTCTCTCCGCACACCGCAACTTACGTTCGCCAGACGGGCACGCGTGGATCACCAGTGACGATTGGATTTCCAACTTGTGAATAAATAATAGTTCCACATTATGATAAGTGACATGTGCAATTAGTTAAGTGCAAACAAATATTCAGTGCATTGTTGTTGAAGCCGGTTCACCTCGTGAGCGAGGCCGGTTCCGAGTGCCGGTCGCAGTGCCTGTGCCCCTCCGACTTGTGCTTTCTAAACGAATCCCAAGCGAGCGTTAACTGTTCGCTTGCTACGTGATCCTTAACACTTATTTGGATTTTAAAACGAACAGGTGAGTTACAATGATTGATTGACTGCATGTTTAAGGTGGAGGAATATGAGTTGAATATCTCTAAAATAGCTTTCTGTAATGGTCTAGATACTGACTATTTCGAAATAAACCAGCAAATTATTATTTTTACATAGTAGATAGTTAACATTGTATGCTTTTATTTAATTATATTTTGTACTAATATGGTGGATTAAATCTTATATTTCATATCTAATTTAGGAAATACTCGTATAATCCAGAAAATCAAGAACATGAGAAAGAAATCAAGTAGAAGATAATGACACTGGATATTGATCCCTGAAGCTCAAGCACCTCGTGATTTTAACATGAGTAACTAGTGTAACAAGCCTCTCTTTACTATTCTCCGACAAAAAATAAATAACCCCGAGAAAAAAAATCGGAGCAATATATGAGCGTTCAAGTTTTTTATTATAAACTTCGAGTATAGATGAAGTTCCTACACAAGAACAAACAGCCCGCATTATTAGACTCTGATCACTATTCCAACTTAGCTCCCCAAAACCCAGTGTTCTTAAGTTAGGAACATTTGTATTAAAAAGAACTGTATAAGCCCCTTAAAACACCCTTATCACCTAGCTAGGTTATGAAAAATAGTTTTCGTCCTATTCTCAGACCTATACCTACTTATTTATATTGAATATACACACAAAATTCATAATAATCGCTCAAGCCGTTTCGGAGGAGTTTTGTTACAAACACTGTAATACGAGAATTTCATATTTCTTAGAATATTTTCAAAAATTACGTAATTAAAGTCATTCTATGTTATCCTACTACATATTACATTAAGTAAACCAAGGTTGTAGTGTACTTTATTAGAAACTTTTCACTATACAAAAGTTCTAAAATAATAGTTTCCAACTTGCCAAGATTTTCAACATAATACCTACCTAGTAGGATTACAATACATACAATATAACTCTATGTGTTGTAGACCCATTAGTTCTAATGTATTGAAATACCTATTATCAATCTTGTTTCATGCCTATTCCTACTCGTGACTTATTGAAATTATTTAAGTTGTGAAAAGGCACCTCTCAAAAAGTACTTACAATAACAGTTAAATCAGTATTTTTCAACCTGTGGGTCGCGACCCCCCAGGGGAAGCCTCTATAGGGGGGTCGCGAGAGGTCGTAAAAACTACTTCAGTAAAGGAAAATTCTTATAAAGACAGATAAATCCGAAATCTAATTATGAAAATGTTGTATGGATTGAAGTACTCGGTCCCAACAAACATCTTTGCAACATTATAAAAGTCATGAAAAAAAACGCGAACGGTAGGGGGGTCGCCAAAAATGTTTTCATACTAGGTAACGGTAGGGGGGTCGTGTCATGAAAAAGGTTGAAAAACACTGAGTTAGATGATGAGATCAATAGCGCTCATCGCAACTGCCGCAACAATGCCCTCGTTAATGACTTCCAAGAGCTTAGAAATGCAAGTGAAATCAGTATAATATCTGCGTATGTAAACATCCACGAGCAATTGCGGAATGTAATTATATCAATGTTCATTGATGATTCGAAGTGCACTTGTAATGTTACTGATTTAGGGTAAAACAATACAGGGGTGGGCGTGCGAGCGCGAACTAGGTTAGGTGGAGCAATCACGCGGGTACACCGCCTGCTCGCTGCTTTATCGCCTATCATCAAGCCTTTGCAATCACCATAACATCTAGTCGTCGATATTTCCTCAAAATTAGTTCAAGGGATTGTATCCGAAATTGTTAAACCTTACTGTAATCATACAGGTTATTCTTTAACTGTGGATAATGGTGCAGGTTACATTGTTACTCAATTTTTAAGTTATTAAGATTTAAGTACATAAGCCCTCAATATAAACTGTTTGTTGTCCAGAAAAATGAGAAAAAAAAAATATAATTACAGATAATCATACAGGTTATTATAATTATAGTAACAGTACTGAATATAACCAATATAACTGTAAATGAAATTTAAATAACACTTTTCAAATCATTTGAGTAAAATGAATTTTCAGTATCTACTTTAACTTTTTGGTGAAAGTTTCACGGAAAAATAAGGTCACAATGGAACTTATTAAGAGATAATATTGTACGTTAGACGTTTGAGAATAGCTAAAGAACAACATTTCGTGATCTAAATCCAAAATATTAGTAAAAAAAAATGCCAAATACACAGATAACTCCACGCTCTGCGACGATGCAAATGTTTAGCCTCGAATAGAAATCTCAAACTTTGGTAAAACTAAGTGCAATGCAGGTACAATGGCTTGCCCATACAATTACTAAAGCTAAATACATAATTGGTAATCAGAAATCGCAAAGTTTTTGTATTTTTGCTCAAGAAAAATATTTTTAACAAAATAATTAACTTAAAGATGAAGTTATATCGAAAATCCTTCTAAGAATATTTAAAGAAAGTTACATGTAAGTAGCAGGTAGGGGATTCAGAGAAAAGATAAAGCTTCGTGTCTCGAGAACGTGTTCCCGCAACCTATCCTATCCTGCAATAAATTAATCCTACGAACATTACGCCATCTGTTGTTTATTACAACGCTGCCCCTTGCTCGAAATCTATGCTCAGTGTGCCTACCATGAGTTTACGTTAGGTGAGCTCGCTAGCGAATACGTCAAAAAATTCTATGAAGATTTTATTTCTTGAAAGTAGCCGCTAGGGGCGCTGCACAATATGTCATACATTTAAATGTCATTTTTTTACGCAGTCGCTAGCGAGCACACCTAACGTAAACTCATGGTAGGCACACAGATCTAACAAGTTTGAGCATAATGGAGTCCTGCTGTGTTTCAATACTGTAAAATCACAATCATGTTAGTGGCTTTACCATTATTATTCTGTACAATATGTAATGGCCGCTATGGCTAAATTTTATAAATCTGTATTCATTTTACCTTTTTAATTTTTGAAAGAATTTAGGTTGTGATCATAATTTATCTTCCGACTGGACTGATATTAAATTACTTTGCAGTCATACTAAGACGCGTATAATTATTATAACGACAGAGATCTACGTTTAGCTCCTCAATAAAATAACATTAGTTTTGGGCCAATCTCTTAAAAGTTTACGGACAGGAATGTACGAAGTGGAGCGTGTACCCGGCGGCAGCTGCCTTCACATTGTTGGAGAACCTTCACTCCAGCAAAGGGCAGCTGTCGAGGTGGGCTCGCTTGGAATCCATCTGCAACAAAGTTTTCGGGCTTTGATGCTGATAGTCTGGAATTTGTCTTATAAACTCAATTCGATTTCAAAGGAATCTGAAACTTAGTAATTTCTCTTCTTACTAATTTAGAAAATGAATGTTGCACAATTAGCAACGCAAACTCCGCATTTGATCAGTTGTCCACGGAATTACAAGTTTTGTTGAACAAGTAGCCAATCTAGTGCACACTCGTTCGCGTTTTTTTAATGGAAAAAAGATCTGTGGGCTGAGTGTGAGTATAAATCAAACGCGCTCACTAAAAAATGTATGAACATTTTAGTTCTTGAACGTTTCCGCTAGGGGCGCTGTAGAATCCGTCATACATTTAATATCACTTTTTGACGCGCGTTTGATGTAAACTCACACTAGGCCCTCTGTTAAAAGATTGACGTGTCGGCATCGGAGCTTCCAATGGATAAAACCATAATAATTATAATATTTGTTAAATCAGTTCTTTCTATTATAATAAGATTTTAAACATGTTATACATAAAATATTACGCTTAATGATACTGTATCGTTAGAAAAATCTACATTCCGTAAAAGAAAAGTGTTTAGTTTTTTTTACGTTTCATGATGTACGAGCTGCTTACTGCACATCTTTAGAATTGATAGAAATGATACGATTTTAGACTTGATGATTTGCTTTGATTTATTGATATTGATAGTATACGAGTACACGCCGTAGCGGTTGATTGTGCACTGATTTGATGGATGAAAAGTGATACAATTAGGGTGAAAATGCTGATGGCGCGGAATGTGCGGTCAAGACCGTACACATGATGAGCTTGATAAACTACACTGGAGCGCGAAGAAAAAGGTTGGTTAGAAAATCTTCTACAGGATGACAGAGAAACTCGATCTATTCCTTGAAAGGGCTATAGTAGAAGTCAAGGGAGAACCCCATATATTAATAACCCATTTAGTTGCCCCCCAATTTGGACTAGACTAGAAGATTCGGCAGCCATAGCCAAAATTTTATTGTCGAATCGAAAATTTAATGTCAAATTGAAGTCAAACACAGTTTTTATTACTATTACATTTACTTATTGCAAACAATGTTCTGTGAGTACAATAAGAAGTTATAAGTGTTGTTTACAGCAAATTGTCAATTTTCAAAATGTATTTACCTATTGTTAATAAGTTCTAAGCTTACAATTGTCAGTAGTTTACAATCGACAAGATAGAAGAAAAAGTCATGTGATATTCACGTAATAAATGAGCAGTGACATGATGAACCCTAAACAATGTTCTGACAGTAAACTGTTAAAACAGCGCAGGTATAGTTCCAAAATACTGGACTGTCCTGTCGATGACATTGACAGTGGGGCGCCACCGTCAATACCGGATCGCTGGTTCAGATTTTTGCCATGTTGGAAACCATATAGTTGAACGATGGCAGCGCCCCCCTGTCATTGAGTTTGGTGGGACAGTTCAGCGTGGGTCATCTATAAACAGTCCTGATTGCTGAAGCCTGCCGCCACCTGCCGCCACAGCTGCGCCGGCACTCCTAAGGCTTCGCATAATTAGTCTGATCCTCTACACACATCTGGCGCGCCGGTGATCATGCTCCATCACTCGATGTGTGTTGCTCTTGTTTTTGGAGACCACAAGTGAATGAATGAGCGGCACATTCATTGGTGACCTTTTCAAAAACAACGCGGTAGTAACCTTATTTATTTGTTTTCTCTATTTACGCCATTTACACGTTGGCTGAAATCTGGGTCTTAGATCAGCCCGCAAATGGCATTCTTAGAACTTGTTCCAGTATAACACGAGAAAC